TATATGACGATTCGGTAATCGATTTTTTACTTTTACAAATATAAAGATATACATTTTTATATTTTATTAATATATAAATATCATTTATTTTCAACCAATAATAATAAATATTATATGACCACGATATAATAATAAATGTTTTTATGGTATAAGTAATAGTTTTATTTTGGTTATTTTTTGATACTTTGATTAACCGATTGATTCGGTTTGGTTTTAATTTGGTTTGAGGCAAAAGCTTGGTCGGTTCAACTTTTTCAAAAGTTTAGATTGGATATTTCATTTTTTGACATTTCGGTCGGTTAATTAGACCGAAACAACCGACGAACAATATTGTGCATTTCGTAGAGAATTAGATAATTATATATATATATATATATATATATTTAATATTTAACGTGCATATACACACACATTATTGTGCACTTTATTTATCATTAATGTGCATTTACTATTTTTCATAAATCACATATTTAGCACATGAACTAAATTGTAATATATCAAACTATTTTTAAAATTGCATCAAGTCCCTATAAACTATCGAATTTTCAAACGTAAGCTCCCCAAATCAATTTTCAATCACAGTCATAGCCCAGTGTTCATCCGACAGCCTGTCGCCTTTTCCTGACCCTCGTCAAGGACGCACTCAACATGGCAACTGCCCCCCGACACCCAACACGCCGCCGTCACCGCCTCCAAGATCTGTCGAAACAAGGATGCCAATCATCTCATTCGGTCGTCGTCCCCAAGGCTTCATCGCTGGCTGCCTCACTTCGATCCGTCGCCGGCCCACCACGTCGCCTCGCCTCGTCTTCGTCTTCCGCTGCTCGCTTTTCCTCCATCCGCCGCACGTCCGTCGTCTCGAGTCTGTCCACCGTCGCGTCCATAATCTCGACTATGTCCGCTGTTGCGTCGCCTCGCCTCCGTCGTCACCGCGTCGAAACTCCTCCATCTGGCCAAAGTTTGTGTGCAGTTGTGTGTTTGTGTGTGAGCAGGTGTGCATGTGTGATGTTTGTGTAGGTGTGTGTGTGTGTGAGAGAGAGAGTGTCTGAGAGAGATGGGAGGGTTAGTTAAGTAGTGGTGGGGCCCACCAATGTGTGAAAGAGTGTAGTGCTTAATGACTAGCTTGCCCTTAGTGAGTGGTCAAATGTATACATTTGACCACGAATTGTACAAATATTTACGAAATTGCCACCGCATGTTGACTTTTTCATTTAATATTTGACTTAATCATGACCATTGATATATTGGATCCAATGTTTGGTGCTTTTATTCGTATTTGTCGAATTATGGTATTTTGAATTCTAAGTGATGCTTCAAATATAGTTCTGAATTTCTGTGTTTTAAACTTTTGAAATTAGAAAGCACTTGACTGACTTAAATTATAAATATACTTTTAAAAGTTAATAGCTTATGTGTTTGCTGTAAGTTGTAAAATAGTTGATCTAGGAAAGTTATTGTTTGAGGTCTACTGATAGGTCGAAAAATGTGCACATTTTATATATTTAATGGTGTATTTTTATACATTTAATTTATCTGCACGTTTATATTTTTTGACTTATCTATTATTTGGATGGATTCATGTACATTGATATTTTTATGTTTATTTTCAGCATATTAAAGTATTTCTCTCAAAGACACACGCAGCCTAAGAGCTATGCATTGGAAGGCCTGTTAATTTGAAAAGCTTATTAAGTTGGGATGATTTAAAATAGAAAAGGATTTTGGGCTTGGGAGATAAATCATTCACGTACAGAGTTGGGAGAGATTTATTTGTTTTAATAAAAGGAGTCACACATGAAGTTTGGACTAGTAGGAGGGATTTTAATTAATTGGCTGCGAAGGAAATAAAGCACACGCCACTCACACATAAAAAGGGACCACGCAGCAACAGAGAAGGAGGATATTATTCGCGCAAGCTTTGGAGCCGCCGCAGACAGAAGGCAGAGGGACGTGAGCAGAGAGGAGAAAATCAGAAGTGGGGAATTCGACAGATAGACGCGGAGGGAGACCGCACCCGCACACGAGAAGGATGACTTTATTCTTCTATTTTGCTTTTTATTTATTATGTTAGAGTAGCTTTTATTTCTAGTTTCGGGAAAGTTGAACCCTACGACTTGACGATGTTTGATTGATTTTCGTGGTTGATAATTTCAATATCTTTTTGAGATTGTTTGTGTTATTTTGAATAATTAACCATGATGTGTGGAGTCTTATTTAGATTGATCACCTAGATTAGGCTTTTCATATCTACAACTGAATTAGACTTTCAATCCGTAATTGTTGTTGTGTTTAGTTCATAAGAGGCTACCAAAAGACGGTAACTACCGGGGATAACACTACCTATTTAAGTGAACGAACGCGGTTGAGTTGACTACTTAGTCTAGCCTATTTTTCTAATTCATAAAGCGGCTAATTGTATTAAATCTTGAAAACGTTTTTCTGGACTGTACAAGAAGTCAGGTTTAATCGTAGAGCGTCTCGCGGTTAAATTAAAAATAAGGAAAAATTCGGGTAACAGACCGTGTCGTTGCCTAGGGCTAGTAAATCTATGAGATAGCGAGATTTGATACTAAAATTGATTAGACGAGTCAGTCGAGGGTGTAGACGGAAATGTGAACTAGATATTTCTCTTAATTTATTTCATTTTATTTTCTTATTTATATTTCATTTCATTCTTAGATAGATTAGATTTATAATTCAATCCCCCCATTTATCGCTTTTCATAATTTCAATTAATACAAGAATATCACAATTTGATTCACACTCCTCGTGGGATCGACCCTTACTTGCCGCTACTACTAGTAGTAGGGGTTAATTGAGGAAAAATATAAATTTTAATTTGCCGCGTTGCGACGCGCGATCATCTACCCAATGCTCGATGCAGAGGCTCATAATAGATCGATATAAACATCACGAGTTATCCCATAATAAATATCAAATCAATCGTTGTTTAATGAGTTTCGATTTGACATCAATATTACATAAATAAAATAAATGGTTGTACTTATTTATATAATGAAAAATAAATTATGTACTAATATTTGAAAACTAATAAAATGATTTTTCAGTTAAATAAATTTATTTATAACGTCATTATAGGACAAAAATGACAAACTTATTATAATATAAAACATGTTAGTCGTACAAGCAAGGTATCGTTTTAAGTATAACTAATACTGATATTTTTAAGAAAATATTTGAAATTAATACAAAAATTTCTTTATTTATTTTTAAAATATTCAATTAACAAATTTTTACCTAGCATTCATATACATTATAATGTTTATTAAGTTAATGTTGTACAATGTTGACATCTTTAAAGTTTTGAATTTTGATTTTGACCGCTTTGTTTCCACATTTCAAATTGACCATATTTGAATTTGAATAACTTAAAATCCTTATCCCTCTAAACATTATTGAGATGAGATAGGGCGCTACGTTTCATGTGCCAAATCTGCATGAATCTTTGTATTTGCTTGTATCTATTTTACTTTGACAAAATTTAAGACCAGATGCACTATCTTACAGAATCCTCGTGTTTCAAACAACAATGATATTGACAAAAATTATTTCACAAATTCACAATAATATTCTTGAAAAAAAAAATCCTACTTTCTTAATAAGTGGGACAAAACAAATTTTCATATTTGCAATTTATATAACCAGGTTACATTATAATATCAATTTCATGGGTAAATAAATTACAAAACACAAAACCTTGTATGAAGTAATTTAATGGTCTACTCTTTGACAATAATAGATATTATAATTTTATTTATATTGTTTTTTAAATTATACATATTTATTAAAAAATTATGATCATCTACACGTTAGGCTTTTCTAATAATAGCGTCATTACTGGTTATGAAAATACATAATGACAATTGGATTTATACAAGAGAATGCAAAAAATACATAATGACAATAGGATTTGCAGAAGAAAAAAAATTCTTAATTGGGATGTATAATAATCTCTATAATCTCGAACCATAAATTGCTCTAATTACTTTTAAGCAAAAGCATTATAAAGGAAACAAGATTATGAATTCTAACCACCCTCCCCACCTATACATCAAATTACACAAATTTTGCTATTAAGTTGACTGATAATATATATTTATTTAATAAAAAATTATATTTAGTATGGAATATTAATATATATTATTTTTTATATTACTGCTTTTGAATATGAAAACATTTAAATATTTTAAAATATAACCATTAATTTTAGATTGTTTGATAACAATATTACGGATGAAATTATTATGAATGACTAGTTATAATCTATCCTTAAAAGGATATAAATATATAATTTATCACATCTGAGCCCAAAAGCAATAAAGGATAGAAACAATAATGAAAATATTTAAAATAGAAAAGGGAAATTTTTCTTTATTACGTGTTTGTCCCTTTTTGATTTATTTTTCCTATTTTATTTATGGCAGTATATTAGGTCACTGTGCGTGTGCTTTTTCATCGTCTTCCTCATCCTTCTCTTACGATCTCTCATTCAATGCTCAACCGAACTCAACGCCACCTCCATTTTTCTCTTCAAATTCAATCCTTTTCTCCATCACCTCTCCACCTAACAACTCAGGTGCTTAATTTACAGCCCTTTTTGATTTTCTTGTTTTGTTCAATTTCTTTCAATTTATGGTGCGGGCCATGTGTTTGTCTAATTGCGCATGTGGGATTTAA